TGAGATTTAAAAGTAAATATGGATATGCATATTTAGATACATGCATCTATATCTATATAATACATGCATGTGTGTGGGAGAAAGACAGAGACTGAGAAGCAGAAAGAGGAAGACAGAAGAAAGAAAAAAAAAAAAAACGGAATGCAAAAGGACTAAAAGCTACACAGTAGATTCCAGAAGCAAAGTCATTTTTCTTTTTCTTTTTCACTTAGCATGGAGGTTTGAGAAGCCAGACTGATAATCTGTGAAAAACAATAGCTAAAAGTTGAGTAAACATTACAAATAATCTAGAAAATCTGCTAATTGTATAAACATTAAATGAGAATAAAATGGAAATACTGAGTGATTTCATGAAGATGAAGGCTCATCTTTCATTTTAAATTAGAAGAGGATTGATGAAGTCTACAGGTTTTAAAAAAAGGTAAGTAATGGGAAAATGAATGAAGATGTCAAGGAAAGAAGTGAGAAATGTAAACTACGTCCTGAACAGGGCAGAGACAAAGGACAAGGGGAGGTGCTGTCCTTTAGGAAAATAAAGATGAAGGAAAGCTATTTGTAGACTTTGCTACTTTCAAATAAATTTGACATAAAGTATGTGGTGTTTTTATGATTGACATAAATAAACTATATTGTAAATGCATTAAAATTTTATTTCTGAGTTTATCATGTATGGAATTTATTATAATATCTAAATCCAAAAGTTCATGCTTTAAAACTCACAGACTCTATAATATTATTCTTTTGAAGATCACTTTTCGCATTCTCTTCTTTTTTCTTATTTCATTTTCCACCACTTTTAAATTTTGTTCCATAGTTTATCTCTTTTTCTCTCTGTGCTGCATTCTGGGTTCTACTTTATGTTTTGAAGTACACTGATTAGTTTCTACCAGCAGCATCTGGACACTTCAATAGAATCTTTAGCAGAAAAATATAGTTATTTTGTTTATATGATGTAGAGGGTTGTTTTCAAATTTACCCGATGTAATCCGAGTGCTTGGGAGACTGCAAACAGGAGGATCACTATGAGTCTGACCTGTGTAGTGAAATCCTGTAGACTCGGTACTAAATAAATAAATAAATAAATTAATCAAAGCAAATTTACTAGATGTATTTTGACAATGTTCAATGTTTGCTGTGATCCTGAAGTCACTTTAAATTTACCTCGGTAGAATGAATCTAATAATTTTATTCTCTAAATCCTATGATAATTTATCATTTTAAAATTATTCAAATAGTAAATGTACTAAGGGATACTGCTGATAACTTTTGTTCATGGTGAGGTTTTTTCTCATATGTTCTATAATTTTGCAAGGTCATTTTAAAAATATTTTTTCATCTCTGGAGATTTTGTGACTTTAGCCTGAAGTTTATTACTCCAGAGAATATATGAGCCTCTTTAATCCCTTGTTATCTCAGTAAACTATTCTGATCATTTTTTTTCTCTTCATATCGCATATCCCATTTACAGGAAGACCCTGTCAGCACCTTTCCAAAATATATCTGAAATCAACTACAGCTCACTGTTCGCACTATAAAGTCCCTGATCTACATGTTCATTATTACATTTTTTTGAGCTACTAAAAATTTTGTCCTTCCTATATACACCAAATCCCATCCTTCACTAAGCAGGCCAAGAAAGTCATTTATAGACATGTTAAGAATTTTGAAAAAGAATTATAACGATCCATTCAATAAACCTGTTTTAAGTTTAAAAGCATCATGATGCTAAGTAAAAATCCAAACAAAAACTCACCATAACAATGTTTAGAGTAAGTAGTAAAAATTAAACTATCTAAATTAAAACAATTATTACACAAACCATAGTTATTCTTATAATAGACTTGTACAGTTATTTAAAGGATGTACTTGAAATTTGTCTCATAATGTGACAAAAATTCTATCATACTGTGTTCAGAATAAAAATGGGACTCACAGTTATCCATTAAGAAAAATTTTAATATAATAGTAATATCTCTAAGCATTAAAATAATTTCAAGTATTTAATCTCTCATTTTATGTCTTGTAAATTCTAAATTTTCTATAATGATCATGCATTACAATCAAATTATTAAGGGATTATAGAAGATAGTATTGCTCTGGAAGAACTGGAAATTTTTGTAAAATGGCATTTTCTTTATCATGCCTCAGGACATGAGAGGAGCATAGGGCTTGCTCAACCATGAATATTAGAAAACAGAGCCGCTGCCATGAATATAAGGCTGTAAATGATCAATTTAACTTATCTTTAGATAATTTCTAGAGGAAAACAGGCAATATTTGGTAAAAAACAGCCAAGAGGAACAAGTACCAGGATGTTCAGGAAGAGAAAGATGATTAAGCAGATTGGAAAAACCTCAAGTTTAAGTTATCAGATGCATATTATAATACAACTTTATCTTATTTGTTGAGAGAAAAATAAAACTTTAATTGTCAGTGCAAACAGGGACTCATAAGCTGACATAACATATCTGGAAGAAAAATAAAGAAAACTTTGGAGAAGGAGGCAGTGGAATTTTCTGAGCGACACCTAAAGGTGTTCTCTGGGCTTACGGTCCAAGTTTTCCTCTATAATTAGGGTTATGCTCCTGTTGCATGTGATAGATTCTCATGGTGTTCTTGGTAATTTACTACACCTCCTCTGCAGAGAATAAGGCTCTATATCCTGTTAATGTGAGACCTGACCATGTATGGGACTTGCTGCCTTTGATGGAATGTGAGCCCCAGGGACAACTTTTACCTTGCTAAGAATATGTAGGAGATCAATTGATCTCATTACAATCCTTTTCTCTGTAGAGCAGAACAACATGCCCAAGAGTATGCAATGTTTCACTCTTGGTGTTGGAAAAGGTAACATGAAGCACAGGTACCTGAATAGCAATGTGAGTGTGAAATAAATGTTTATGTTGTAGACTGCTATAATTTGGGAGCTATTCGTTACTGTAGGATAATCCCATAAATGTTAACATTCCCTGTCCATAATGCTTAATCATGGACAGCGTGGTGCAAGCCAGGAACTAAGAGATAACAAGCAGTTGATCAAGGAAAAAATAGCCAATGTCTGTATCTGTCCTCATGAATTGTGTCAGTTATTTTGAGAGGTGGAAATCAGTCAAATATTCACACAACACAAAATTGCAAACATGACAAGAGAGGGGAAGGAGTGGCAGATCGGCATGACTTGTACACATCTAATAGTGAATAATGTTAGTGGTTACTCAGTGAATTCTTCCCAGAGCTCATGCCTAAACTTTAGAATCAATCTAAAAGATATTGCATGTAGTAAATCTAGGGGAGGAAAGTACCATAAACATACCTCATGGGCTGGATAAAAAATGCGCTAAGTAGGAAAATTTGAAGTAATACCACAGTTTGAAACATTTATAAAAGGAATAGGGAATAAAAAAAAGTGGAAGAAAAAAATAAAAATAAAGTTCTGAAATGGTGAAGAGAAGAAGGGTTGAAACGAAGACAGGAAAATGGAATGAAAAGGACAATTAAGAAATATTATATATGGGACACTGAGATAGCTCAGAGGTCTAAGTGCCTGCCTAGGCAGGGACAGGGACTGGAACTGGATCCCTTGTACTGAATGCTCTGCCAGCCCCACCCCTGGGCTGAACCAGGGATGAGTCAGGATGAGGTGGTACATGTCTGTAATCCCAGTGCTGGGGATGCTGAAAACAGGAGGATCATTATGAGTCTGAGCTGTGTAGTGAGACCTGAAAATGTAACAGTAAGATTAAATTAAAAATCAAAATCAAGAGCCAGGTACAATACAAGACTGCAAAGATGACTGTGCACTCAGAGGAACTTGTGGGATATGCATAGAAGGATTTTCTCTCACTTCACTACCACTAAAATCAGTACAGATATGGGAGAGAGCTAATCATACTTAGGTTTTAAATGGAAAAAAATGCCCACTAAAATGTAAGTTGTAGATTAGAGAATCTAATGGCTACATGTAGACCAGTTTCAGAAGTCACTTTAAATTCAACTGAGATACAATAGGTTCTATCAATTTACTGGTAGGACAGTAAAGCAACCAGATTTAAAAGATGTTTAGTTGGTTTCTTTTGGCCTATCAAAAGGAGCAGTTAATGCTCACTTTTTTTTCTCTTCTTAATCTCATAACTTTTTCCCCAACTTTGCATGCATATATCTGGTGCTCTAAACAACTAATTGAAGGACAACACTATGCAATACAACAATTATTGTCAAATTCATACTTTGCTTAGTGAAATTGTGTGTCATTTCTGATGTTTTATTTATTGTCATTACTCTGTCTTCTCTTAAAAAAGATGTTTAAGGGCTGGCCAAATATCTCAGCGGATTAAAGCGCCTGAAAGCAGGCACAGGGTCTGGGGGTTAGATCCCCAGGCCTGCCATGACAGACCCACCCTAGGGCAAGCTGAGAAGGCAACTGAGACTGGGCGTGGTGGTGCACACCTGTAATCCCAGCTCTTGGGAGGCTGTAAACAGGCAGATCACTATGAGTCCGATCTAATAGTTAGGCCCTGAACACCCTGTAGACCCTTCCCTAAAATACAAAAGAAAAAAAGTTTAGTGATATAGAACAGTCTGTTGATATGCTGAATATAAAATTTGAAAGGGAAAGAAAAGTTAAGCCAACTAAAGTTCCTGAGTCATGAAAATTGATTGAATAGTTTGGTGGATAACTAAGGGTTGAATGAATGGGATCTTGAGCTTGAACAAAGAGATTCTGTTTAAAATTAAAGCATTTTTTTAATATAAGAGAATTTTCCCAAAGGTAGTAAAAATCAATAAGTGTTAAAGTCAGAAGAATTCAGTTTTCCAGTTCTTTTGGGCTTTTTCTAAAGGGATCCATAGAGATGAAAGAATGACATTGGGAATATAGCTAAACAAACTTAAGCTAATTCTAACCCCGAATATCATCATATTATCCCAGGAACACAAACTGGAGATGTCCATTACATTTCCCATGTTGAGGATAAAATATAAGGAAAGCCATCTGCAGTTACCTTTCACTGATCTGATTTGTTATGGTGATAATTTCATTGGAAAGCCTTCTATTTTCTCCTACTGCTTGAGCATATAGTATGGAAATGTCAGAGAAGTCCTTTGAAACATTATAAAGTTCAACATCCCACGATTTTTTCTTTAAAGAAAAGAAGAATCATTTGTACATGTTTAATGGTCAGAAAAGAAAAATAAATGGTAATAAATTTTAATTATATGAGTTAATATTTGAGAACAGAACATGGAGCTCTATTGGGAAGCAAGGAAAGGTCAACTTACAGCGGTATAAAATTCATTAAGTGCTTCCACATACTGTTGTTGATATTTTCTTTTCTTCCAGCATATTTGATCATAATTCTTCCTCAGATCATCCAGCTAAAAAATAATGCACAGAAAATAAGTGAATTGTGGAGACTTCCATCATTTTACATAGCAAGACCTAGATTATATTTTACTTTGTGCAGCTTCCAAAAGTTAAAAAACATTAACTGAAGTGTTATAAAATAATACCGTAGGCTCATTCCATTTGTGAAAATTTATGCAGGGTTTTGGCAGAATATAGCAAGTGAATCCAATGTTCAAATGAATAACATGATAAAATGTGGTGTGTTCTGGCTGTGGAAATTTGAAATTCTTCAATTGTATGTCATCATAAGAAATTAAAGGAAAAAATAAAAAATATCACATCATCTAACAAAAACACTTGATAAATTCACTATCTACTTTCCCTAATATTTTAAACTAGTAAAGGAAAA